CATTTGAAAATGTTGGAGATGAACACAATGCAATTGTGAACGTCGGTATTCCAAGAGGACGAGATGGAGAAAACGGAATAAGTCCAAAAATGCAAGTAGGCCGCGTTACAACACTTGAGCCAGGAAGCCAGGTAACATTCGAGAACGTGGGATCACAAACAGAAGCAGTTTTCAATGTAGGTATTCCAGCCGGTCAACCAGGAGAATCAATCAAAGGTGATGACGGAAAAGCAGCAACAGTTCGTATAGGTGCTGTTACAACACTTACACCAGGAAGCCAGGCAACAGTTGAGAACGTTGGAACAGAAAATGCAGCAGTGTTTAACATAGGTATTCCAGCAGGAAGCAACGGCAATCCAGGGGCTGATGCAACAATTAGCATCGGAACAGCGACACAGCTTCCAGCAGGCAGCCAGCCAACAGTTGAGAATGTGGGATCACCAACAGCAGCAATATTGAACTTCGGTATTCCAGCAGGTCAAAAAGGTGCTGATGCACAAGGCGTTGTGAATACATTAATTGATACACCGTTGACAGAGGCACAGGTTCTTGCAAAGGTTGTTGAGAACGCCGGCGTAGAAGTAAGCGGATTCTTCTACAATAGCGACATCAACGCATATTGTAGTTTCAACGGTCTTTACATGACCAAGACAACAAGCGGAACAGAAGTGCATTACGGATATTGTAACATCAGAGGAATCCATGATACAGAATATCTTGTGGACTATCGAATCGACTGGGAAGATCATGCTGATTGGTATAAGGTTGAAATTGTGACACACAATGATCTGACCGCGTACCAGAAAAAGTTAACAGCCGGTAACAATATCACAATTGAAAATGATGTGATTTCTGCAGCAGGCGGCGGAGGCGGCGGCGGAACATGGTCCAAAATAAGAGATTTTACAGGTAATACAGAAACCCAATATTCTATCACACTCAATCCAGAAGACAAAAGATTAATGTTTGTACTATATGTATACGTAAATGATAACTACCTATTAAAGAGTGTAAAGATTATAGATTTAGAGTCTATAAGAAACATACCTGAAGCTAATAATGGTACGTCTATAAATGACTGTATTGTATTTAGCTTGGCAAGCAATAGTTTGTTCGGCCAACCATCAATTTTTATAACATTACCTATTTCATACAACACACTATATAATACACTGTATATAGGTGGAAAAGGCGTAAAATTAAGTGGTGATGCCTTTAGAGCAGGATGGTCAGTAGGATATGACTCTTACCACACTTCATCTGTATATCGGGAAGTATAAATAAACGGCCCCGATCGTTACAAATGGTCGGGGCTAAAATTAAAAAGGAGCATTCGAAATGACATCAGCAGAAATTGAATTAACAGATATTGAAAAAAAATTAAAAGAGATGTATGCGACGGCTCATAAAGAATTGTCTAAAAAATGGGATGCATACATGGAAAAAATGGCTGCTAAGGAGCAAGAATTTTATAAGAAATTAGAACAGCTTGAAAAATCAGGTGCATCAGAAAAAGAAATGGCCGCTCTTGAAGAAGCGTTCGATCAATGGGAGAAAAACAAAGCTTTTAACAACGATCGTTACAGAAATATGGTTCAGCAAACAGCCGAAGGCTTTTCGAAAGCAAATCAGAGAGCCGTTGAATATGTGAATGGCCGCATGCCAAAAATCTATTCATCAACTGTGAACGAAGAAGGCAAGAATATTGAAGGCCAGGTGAGCGGAATTCGTTTCGATATGGTTGACGAAGGAACTGTTGCAATGTTGGTTAAAAATGGTGATTTAAGGTTGCCAGCTAAAAAAGTCGATGTTCCAAAAGATGTTGCATGGAATAAGAAACAAATTAATAGCCAATTGATGCAAGGAATATTACAAGGCGAAGATATAAAAACAATCGCACGTCGATTACAAAGCGTAACTGATACAAATGAAGCAGCCGCTGTACGAAATGCGAGAACAATGACGACAGGAGCCGAAAACGAAGGACGCATGTATACTTATAGAGACGCTGCTAAAAAAGGCGTCAAGATGAAGAAAGTGTGGATGTCAACAGGCGACAATCGTACAAGAGATAGTCACAGAAATATGGACGGCGAGGAACAGGATTTAGAAGACACATTTAGTAACGGATTGATGTACCCAGGTGATTACAGAGGTGACGCTGCAGAGGTGTACAATTGTCGTTGCACGATGACCACAAGAATTATCGGATTTGAAGCAAATACTGTCGAAAAACCGAAGAAGAGAGGTGAATAAAAATGGCAGTAACAAGTTCTGTAACAATAACAAGCCATGCTGATGAAATTAAAAAACTAACAGATTCGCAGGTCGATTCAATTCTCACAGCAATTGGATTACAGGCTGAAACATATGCGAAAGAAAATTGTCCAGTAGATACGGGCCGCCTTCGTAACAGCATTACGCACGAGACTGATGGCAACGCTGTTTATATAGGAAGTAATGTGGAATATGCACCGGCCGTGGAGCTAAAAGATATGAAACACACAACAGGTAAAGCGCATTTTTTACGAGACGCGTTACAAGATCATGTTAGCGAATATGAAAATATCATTGAACAGGGGTTGAAATCAGCTCTTGGATGATGAAGGATCGTGTATGATCATACATCGTTACAAAGACCACAAAAACGCTAGAACGCCTAGCACTTTTCAATTTTTTATTACTATATTTTATATTTTTTGTGTAGTATTTTACTAAAAAATAAAAAGTATATAAAAAAAATAATATATATAGAAGAGTTTTATTTTCGGCCAAAATACTACATCATGCATGTGATCATACACAGCCACGTTCGTTAAAAGATTTTGATACAAAAATTATTGACATTTAGTGATCGTGGTTGTAAAATACAAGAGAGGGCAAAGAACGACCCTCTAAAAACTATCTAGTGACAAAGTAAAGTCAACGAAGCAAAGGAGATAATATTATGGCATTAACAAGAAAATTTTTATCAGCACTCGGCATTGAAGCCGACAAAATTGACGAAATCATCGAAGCACATGTTGAAACAATAAATGCATTAAAGACAGAGCGCGATGATTACAAAAAAGACGCGGAGGAGCTTCCAAATGTGAAGAAAGAACTCGAAACAATGAAGGCTGCTGCCGAAAACAATGATAACGATAGTTGGAAAGTCAAGTATGACGCGTTGAAGGAAGAATACGACGATTACAAGACAGGGATTAACGAAAAGGAAACAAGGGCGTCAAAAGAAAGCGCATACAAGCAGTTATTGAAAGACGCTGGCGTTTCAGAAAAGCGCATCGATTCTGTTTTAAAGGTTTCTGCAACTAAGATTGATGATGTGGAATTAGATGAAACAGGTAAGATCAAAGATGCCGAAGCATTAACCGAATCAATCAAAACAGAATGGGCTGATTTTATTGTGACAACACAGCAACAGGGCGCACAGACATCAAATCCACCAGCAAATAATGCCACAAAAGCATATACAGCGGATGATATCAAAAAGATGTCAACCAAAGAGATCAACGATAACTGGGAAGCTATTCAAGCATCCTTAAAAAACAATTAAGCCAAGGAGGATAAGACAATGGCAGTTACATCATTTATTCCAGAATTATGGAACGCAAGACTTTTATACAATTTAGAGAAAGCACATGTTGCAGCAGCATTCGTTAATCGTGATTACGAAGGTGAGATCAAGGACGTAGGCGACACAGTACACATCGGTAAGATCGGTGCTATCACTGTTAAGAACTACACAAAGAACACAAACATTGCTGCACCAGATGATCTTTCAACAACAGACACAACATTACAGATCACACAGTCAAAATATTTTAACTTCCAGTTAGATGACGTTGACGCAGCACAGGTTGCAGGTGATGTAATGGATACAGCAATGGGACGTGCAGCATATGCATTAGCAGACGTTTCTGATGCATATATCTTCGGATTAATGGCAGCAGGCGGCGATTCTAAGAATTATGTGGGATCTGCAGCATCACCTATTCAGCTTACAGCAGCAAACATCTATGCAAATCTTGTTGAATTAAGAACAAAGCTCGATAAGGCAAATGTTCCAACAATCGGCAGAAAGCTTGATGTTTCACCAGAAGTTTATGCAGTTCTTCTTCAGTGCCCTCAGTTCATCACATTGAACGCAGGTGTTGCAGAATCAGCTGTTGTAAACGGACTTGTTGGTAAGATCGCAGGTTTCGACGTTTACGAAACAAACAACGCAGTATTTACTACTGGCGGAACACAGGATTATTGGACACTTACAGCATCAGTTGATACTGCTACTACATACGCAGAGCAGATCGTTAAGACTGAAGCATACAGACCAGAAGGTCGTTTCGCAGATGCTGTTAAAGGTCTTCACGTATACGGTGCAAAGGTTGTTAATCCAGAAGAGATTGCAACATTATTCTGCTACGTATAAGATATGGAGGGCGATGATATGAGATTAGTTAAAGACGGACAGGTTATCAACCTTGAAAACGAAAATCATGTCGAAGCCTTTGTACAGTCGGGATGGAAAATAGATGAAACAGCGGCAGAAACAAAAGCTGCCGCTGATGCACCTATTGTTGAAGCAGTGGAGGCACCCAAGGCTAAGCCATCACGCAGGAAGGCATAAGAGGTGATAGCAATGGTTAAATATAAAGTTATTTATCCGTTTGCTGATTTACAAGATAATAAACATGTTTATCAGCCGGGGGACGATTTCCCCCGCAACGATAAACGCAGAGTGAGCAAAGCCAGAATCGAAGAGTTATCAGGCAGTGATAACAAAATTGGCAGACCGCTCATTGAGAGTTTAAATGTGGAAAAATCAGAAACGGAAGTTGAAGAATAAATAGAAAGGACGGCGAAATAAAATGATCACAGAAATATGCAGACATATTAAAAACTTTTTCACATATGATGTTGATAAGCATTTCGGCGATTATTCTATTACAGATGGACAGATCACGCCGTCAATTGATTTCAAAACAGACTACATTTGTATAATGGGCAGCAGAAAGAACGATGGTGTTCACAAGCTGTCGGATAATGATCTGCAGGACGAAACAACATTCGAAGGAGCGATCTGGGAAATGTCGATCCCGGCAGATTTTCTTGCATTAGTCACGGAAATTGAAGAATGGCAGAAAAAGAACGGAGCAGCAGATAGTGCTGCGATGTCGCCATTTGCAAGCGAGAGTTTTGGTGGTTATAGTTACACAAAAGGATCAACAGGATCTGATGGATCATTAAGCAATGGTTGGATGAATGTTTACGCATCACGATTAAACAATTATAGGAGGGTTCGACTATGAGTTTATTATCAGATGCATTAGAGACATGTACAATATTAAATAAGAAAACTATTGCAGATGGATACGGTGGATATAAACAGGTTTATGAAGAAGGTGTTGAATTCCAGGCAGCCGCTGTTGTTAATAATTCGATTCAATCGAGAATAGCACAGAAACAAGGCGTAAAGGATATTTATACAATAACAACACCAAGAGCTATGAATCTGCAATATCATGATGTGTTTATCAGAAACAGAGATCAGAAGATTTTCAGAGTAACATCTGATGGTGATGACGTATTAACGCCAAAAAGTGCAGCACTTGATATGCGCCAAGTTAGCGCAGAGGAGTGGACACTTCCGGATTAAGGAGGAACAGAAATGAATGTAGAACAAAGAATACACGCATTCTGGTCCGGGTTTGATCTACCGGCATACGATGAAAATACTGTGCCGGATGATGCTAAAATGCCATATATCACCTATGAAACTGTGAACGATTATTTTGGCAGCGATAGGACCGTGTCCGCATCATTGTGGTACAGGAGTTCGAGTTGGAAAGAAATCACAGAAAAACAAGAAGAGATATCGACATTTATTGGCAGAGGTGGTATAATTACTATAACAGACGATGGCGGTATTTGGATCAAACGTGGAACGCCATGGGCGAACAGAATGTCTGAATCAACTGACGACAAAGTCAGACGAATTGCTTTAAACGTAAATATAGAATTCCTAAGATAAGGAGGAAGTAAAAATGAAATATACAAGAATTCCAGAGGAGACCTTCAAACAGTTACAGTTAAACGCTGGTATTTTATGTACAAATTTTACACCTGAATCAGGCGAGGTTGAAGGCTTATTCGGTGCAACAACTGGTGGTATTAGTTTTGGTGATACAATCAATACAAGCGACTACGGCGAAGATATCGACAATTGTCCTAAGAATATGCTCGAGCTTAAGAAATTAGATAACCACGAAGTAAAATTAAGTGGTACATTCGTTTCAGTGAGCCCAGCATTAGCTAAGACATTGACAGCCGCATCAGATATTGATCCTGATAATCCAGAACATATCATCCCTCGTAACGACCTGTTAAAGAAAGATTTCATCGACGTTTGGTTCGTTGGTGACTATTCAGATGTGAACACAGGTGAAAACGCAGGATATCTTGCAATTCACGTTATGAACGCGATGAATACATCAGGATTCCAGATTAAGACAAATGATAAAGCGAAAGGAACTTTTTCATTTGAATTCACAGGCCATTATTCAATGGATGCACAGGACACTGTTCCTTACGAAATCTACATCAGAGAAGGTAAAGACACAGTTGTTCAGGGCGCGTAAATATAATTTAATAAAGCGGAGGTAACATCATGAAGAAATTTTCAGATTATAAGGGCGATGAAGCTATAGAGTTATGGGCCGATTTAATCGAGCCCATAACAAAAATTGTTGCAGATAAAGATATCGCAACAATCTATAATTCTGGTAAGCCAAAAGTAATTATCGCAAAAGAAATTCTAAAAAAACATAAAGAAGAAGCGACAGAAATCTTACTAAGAATTGACCCAACACCATTGACAGGATTGAATGTGGTTATAAGACTTATAGACATTTTAGTAGAAATCGAAAGCGCCGACGAACTCAAAGGTTTTTTCGGATCTGCGGGGCAGGCGAAGACGGCGAACGAATCTTCTGGATCTGTTATGGTGAATACAGAGGTCGAAGAGAATTAAAGCCTTTTATGCGGTACGTCGAATCAAGGTACGAACAAGAGTACCGAGAGATGGCGTACCGCTTTTATGTTACAAACAGCCTGCAGAATATTCCACAACAGAAATTCTGCAAGATATCATTTTATGATATATTGAACCCGCAGCCAGTAGATACACGCTCTGGTGATGAAATTGCATTCGATTTCATGACAAGAGCAGGATTAACATTAGGAGGTGACACAGGATGAATGCATTCGAAATAGCATCCGTACTAACACTTGATACAAGTGAATTTAATAAAGGCCTCGATACAGCAAAATCAGCAGCAACAGGATTTGCATCATCAATTGGATCAGGATTGATGAAAGCAACACAGCTTGTAGGAACAGCAGTTACAGCCGCTGCAACAGCAATGGCCGGATTCGGTGCAGCTTCCGTTAAAGTAGGATCAGAATTTGATTCATCAATGAGCCAGGTTGCAGCAACAATGGGATACACTGTTGCACAGTTGAGTGACGGAACATCTGAAGCAGCACAGACAATGGAAACATTGAGAAATTTCGCGCAAGAGATGGGAAGCACGACCGCGTTTTCAGCAAGCCAGGCAAGCGAGGCGTTGAACTATATGGCTCTCGCCGGATACGATGCAGAAACATCTATGGAAATGTTGCCAACAGTTTTGAACCTTGCAGCAGCAGGTGGAATGGAATTGGCAACAGCATCAGATATGGTTACAGACGCAGCATCAGCATTAGGTTTAACAACAGAAGAGACAGCTGCTATGGTTGACCAAATGGCCGCAGCATCAAGTAATTCAAACACAAGTGTAAGCCAGCTCGGAGAAGCTATGTTAACAATTGGTGCAACAGCATCTAACATGGCAGGTGGAACACAAGAATTATCAACAATGTTGGGCGTTCTTGCTGATAATGGTATTAAAGGAGCCGAAGGCGGAACAAAATTACGTAATATTTTGTTATCATTACAGAATCCAACAGATGAAGGTGCTGCAGCATTAAAGCAATTAGGTGTGGAAGTATACGACGCAAATAGTACTCTGCGTTGATACCACTGCTTTGTGGCAGACATGCAGACAGGAATGGCTGGAATGAGCCAGGAAAGTAAAGACGCTATGTTATCAGGTATGTTTAACAAAGCTGATTTAGCCGCTGTTAACGCATTGTTGAATACAAATTCAGAAAGATATGTTGAATTAACAGGAGCAATTGGTGAATCAAAAGGTGCTGCAGAAGCTATGGCACAAGTGCAATTAGATAATCTTGCAGGTGATGTCACATTGTTTAAATCAGCATTAGAAGGTGCACAAATTGCTATATCTGATCAATTGACACCTACTTTACGAGATTTTGTACAATTCGGATCTGAAAGCTTAAGCAATATGACAACAGCGTTCAAAGAAGGCGGTTTATCAGGATTGATGGACGCATTCGGAACTGCTCTTGCAGACGGTCTTGCTATGATAACAGATATGGCACCACAATTTGTTGACGCAGGCGTTCAGTTGTTGGCAGCATTAGGCCAGGGCCTTATTGACAATCTTGGAGCAATACAAGATGCAGGAAATAAGATTATAGAAATCATAATAAAAGCTATAAAAGATGGTAAAAATAGTTTTATCGAAGGCGCAACAACAATAATAACAATGTTGGTTGACGGCCTTGTTGCCTTATTACCAAGCATTGCAGATGTTGCGGTTGATATAATCATAAGTTTGGTTGATGGTATTGTGGCCAATATCGATAAGATTGTTGATGCAGCAATTTCTATTATGGATACTGTCGTTAACGGTATAATCACATTATTACCAAAATTGGCAAATGCAGCGCTTCAGATCATCGTAAGTTTGGCAAATGGTATAACCAGCTCATTGCCTGAATTGTTGCCAGCGATCACAGATACAATCATACAGATTGTGGACGCATTCGGAACTGCTCTTGCAGACGGTCTTGCTATGATAACAGATATGGCACCACAATTTGTTGACGCAGGCGTTCAGTTGTTGGCAGCATTAGGCCAGGGCCTTATTGACAATCTTGGAGCAATACAAGATGCAGGAAATAAGATTATAGAAATCATAATAAAAGCTATAAAAGATGGTAAAAATAGTTTTATCGAAGGCGCAACAACAATAATAACAATGTTGGTTGACGGCCTTGTTGCCTTATTACCAAGCATTGCAGATGTTGCGGTTGATATAATCATAAGTTTGGTTGATGGTATTGTGGCCAATATCGATAAGATTGTTGATGCAGCAATTTCTATTATGGATACTGTCGTTAACGGTATAATCACATTATTACCAAAATTGGCAAATGCAGCGCTTCAGATCATCGTAAGTTTGGCAAATGGTATAACCAGCTCATTGCCTGAATTGTTGCCAGCGATCACAGATACAATCATACAGATTGTGGACGGACTCATTGACCATGCGGATGAATTGATAGAAGCCGCAATTGAAATAATAATGGCATTGGCAGACGGTCTTATAAATAGCCTTGATAAATTGATAGCAAGGTTGCCAGAAATTATTAAAACGATAATTTCAACATTGATTGATCATGCAGGTGAGCTTATAGATGCAGCAATTCAGATAATAATGGCATTGACATTAGGTATTGTCGATTCATTACCTATATTGATAGAAATGCTTCCAGAGATCATAATCCAGATTGTAGATACGCTGATTGAAAACGCCCCTAAGTTAATAGAGGCCGCATTAGTCGTAATAATAACATTGGCAGAAGCGCTCATGGAAAATCTACCAAAATTGATAGGTGAGATTCCAAAGATAATATTTGCCATTGTTGACAGTCTGATCGAGCATGCCCCAGAATTGTTGAAAGCCGCTGTCGAAATAGTTGGCGCTTTGGCAATCGGTTTGATCGATGGCATTGTAACAATTGTAAACTGCGTCGCAGAATGGTATAATAGTATATGGGAAGGGATCACAGGATGGTTCGATAATTTGAAAGAACTCGGATCACAGGTTGTAAACATGGTCGGAGATGGAATCAAAGGTGCAATTTCAGGTGCACTTGAATGGGGTAAAGACCTCGTACAAAATTTCATCGACGGTATAAAACAGAAGTGGGAAGATTTAAAATCAACAGTTTCAGATCTTGCCGGATCCGTAAAAGATTATTTAGGATTCTCAGAACCTAAAAAAGGACCATTGAGTAACTTCCATACATATGCACCAGATATGATGCAATTATTCGCAGCAGGAATTAAAGAGAATGAAAATCTTATAACAGATCAGATTTCAAAGAGTTTCGATTTTAGTGATCAAATGATAAATGTTGATGCAAAAGCAAATGTGACAGCAGGTGGAACGGATGTCGAATCTGCTGGTGGAATAACACAGAACATCACAATCAATGCACCAACAGAACTTGATCCAAATGAAGTTGCAAGACAAACAAGAAACGCAAGCAGAGACATGTTGCTGGCGGCGAGAGGTATAGCATAATGAGAAAAATTATTTGCACAAATAAAGATACCGGGTCAAGCATTACATTCGGGGAAACGGCTTTCGAGCCGTTTCTTCTGGCCCATATTGATGGCCTTTATGATACACAAGCAGCCGTAACAATAATTGATAATGCCGTTCTTGATGGCGGAAGTTACAGCGGCAGCAGATTACAAACAAGAAATATTGTGTTAACAATAACAGATAGGCCAAACAACATATATAATATTCAGAACAGAGATTTATTACGACAAGTGTTCGAAAAAGGATCATTAGGTGAATTAAGATATGAAGAAGACGGAATCGTAAGAGTAACGGAATATTACACAGAAAATATACAGCCAGGAAACAGACGTCTTTTCACAATTTCGTTATTGTGTCCTGATCCATGGTTATATGATCCAGAATATGAAAAAGTTACAGCATCAAGTCGTATATCAGCATTTACATTCCCACATGAATTTACAGAACCAGAAGAATTCGCAGGATTATCAGGATCAAACAATATTCTTATTACAGGAGTAAAATCAAGTAACACAGGAATGGTTGTGGATATTGAAGCATTAGGCACAATTATTGATCCAAGAATAGTTAATGTAGAGACAGGTGAAGAAATCACATTTGATGGACTTGAAGTATTGAACGGAGATATTTTAAGAATCAATACAGAAACAGGAAAGAAAAATGTGTCTATAATTAGAGGTGATAGAACAATATATGTTAATCAATATCTTGTAGATGACGCATCATTCTTCCAATTGATGCAAGGAAGCACGAACATTAAATTTGAGGCAACAGATGGAATGGATAATATGCAAGTTACAATAACATATAGGAACAAATACGAAGGAGCATAATATGGAAATAAGAATCTATACAGAAGAACTTGAAAGAGTTGGAATAATAGAAGAATATCAAAGTTTGCTCTGGGTTAGAAAATATTATGAGCCAGGGTGTTTCACCCTGGTTGTTCCACTAACAGAACGAAATTTGCAATATATCCAGATGGGAAGAATCGTTCGAAAAGTAGGAGTACTCTGCGTTGATACCACTGCTT